CAATTGCTGGATCATAGGGTAGTTCTAGTTTTAACTTTTGGGGAACCTCCATATTGTTCTCCAGAGTGGCTGCACCAGTTTGCATCCCCACCAAAAGTGCAAGAGGGCTCCCCTTCCCTCACATCCTTGCCAACACCTGTTGTTTCTTGTGTTATTAATTTTAGCCATTCAGACAGGTGTGAAGTGGTATCTCATTGTGGTTTGATTTGTATTTCCCTGGTGATGAGTGATGTTGAGCCTCTTTTCATGTGTCTGTTAGCCATCTGGACATCTTCATTGGGAAAGTGCCTGTTTGTGTCTTCTGCTCATTTCTTAACTGGATTATTTGTTTTTTGGGGTGTTGAGTTGATTAAGTTCTTTGTAGATTTTGGATACTAACCCTTTACCAGATATGTCATTTGCAAATATCTTCTTCCATTTCATAGATTTTGTTGATTGTTTACTGTGCTGTGCAGAAGCTTTTTATCTTGATGAAGTCTCGGAGGTTCATGTTTCATTTTGTTGCTCTGGATCCAGCAATGTGTCCACCAAGAGGTTGCCACAGCTGATGTCACAGAGGTTTCTGCCTGTATTCTCCTGTTGGATTTTGATGGTTTCCTATCTCACATTTAGGTCTTACATCCGTTTTGGATTTATTTTGTGTGTGGTCCAGAAAGTGGTCCAATTTCGTTCTGCAGGTTGCATCAGTCTTCCCAACACCATTTGTTGAAGAGACTATCTTTTTCATTGGACATTCTTTCCTGCTTTGTCGCAGGAGTTGACCATATAGTTGTGGGTTCATTTCTGGATTATTTATTCTGTTCCACTGATCTATGTTTTTGTGCCAGTGCCATACTGTCCTGATGACTATAGCTTTGTAATATACCTTGAAGTCCAGAATAGTGATGCCTCTACTTTGCTTTTCTATTTTCAGGATTGCCTGGCTACTTGGGGTCTTTTGTGATCCACACAAATTTTAGAATTGATTGTTCTAGCTCTGTGAAAAATGCTGGGGTATTTTGATAGGGATTGCATTAACACACATGCCCTTCACTGGCAGACTTCCCTTCCTTGTCATTGTTCCCACTGCCCTTGCTTTGCATCCTGGGATCACCTCCCAACTAAACGACTTGTACTTGAATCCTTATCATCTTCTGGAAGAACACAAGTGAAGACAGATGGGGTGCACAACTGAAAAATCCCAAGTAGCTCTCTAATCACTGCAGAGTCCAGACCTCAAACAATGTTAAGGGATCTCGGTTTCATTCTCTCTCTTCAGGATCATGCTATTCCTTTGTGGTGGGAAGAGGGCTGCTAACAGCTGTAGGGTTATATCCTAGCCTCTTCCATCCCCAGCCATATTCCCAAGAGTTTCATATTAAGTTTTGGCATGTAGACTTGGGGCAGGTACCTATTCTTGAAACAATCATTGTGGTCAGAGAGATGAATTATGTTAATTGGTCAGGGAGTCCAAGGCTGGGGTCAGCCCATCTAAACCTCAACATGGGGTAGGAGGATGCGTGGCTTGGTTATCCAGGGAAAATCCAGGTGTGGTCACCAGACAAGGAGGGATGGATGTTGGGTAGCAGAAGAGACAGATGCATATCCTGATTGGTTATGGGATTTTGCGATGAAAATACTCATGAGACTGGGATTTTGTAACCACATCTCTTCTTTTGATACCAGATGTGGAAAGATTGTTGCTAGAACATTCATCAACTTCCTCTCTAAACCCACCAGTGCCACCCATCCTGCCTTCTGTTTACCTTTTCCTGTTCTGTGGGTTGTTTTCTCCTAAGCTCCTGGAGCAGGTGGCTGTTTCATGCTGAGCCCAGGGGGTTTTTGTAAGGCTCTCCCCGTCACTCTTCTCACCGTGGATCTTCTCCAACAGCACAGAAATAGACACCTGAGTCTGTAGGCATCAAGCCTGTGATGGTGAGACTTAGGGCTTTGTTTCCTTTCTGATGAGATACAGAATATCGTCCTTTCTTGGTGTTTGTGCTATCAGAATAAAGATAAATGATTTCAGTCATCTTTCCATTGGAAAGCTGTCGAAACCAGCTCATCACATAGTAAGTATAGCTGAGTGTGAAACTACAGTGCAAGCTCACAGATTCTCCCTCTTGTTTATTCACTGGACCTGGAGTTTGAGTGACACTCTGTGTATTGCTGGAACCTGTAGAAAAGAAGAAAAAATAACTTAGCTGTTGACATTGCTCCCAAGAAAGCTGTCACAAACAGCCAAGTTTTCACCCAGAAAACAAAGTGGAGAAAGGCACAGTCAAGTTCTCTTCTAACTTCTTGCCCAAACCTCCTCCCTTGGGCCCCAGCTGCAGGGGTGGTGGGCTCCTTACCGAAGAGGATGAAGGCCACCACTGTGCACAAGAGAGCAGGCAGTCCAGACTGCATGTTGGGGCCCTTCCTGCTGGTGAAATGGCTCTTGTTCTTCCTGCCACCTGTCAGGCCCTTTGCAGTGTCCCTGGAGCTGGGTGGCTCTGTGGTCTTGCTTCTATAAAGCTGGCAGTGAGCCTCCTGCATACGTAAGTTTAGTCACACTTCCTGCTGTCTGTGTCTGCTTCCTGCCTCTCTTCCTCCAGGCCTCTCTTGTCTAATTGATTGATAACATGTCATGTGTGATTTATCATGAAATTTTTTCCAATGTGGACATAACCAAAAGGGAGAAGTAGACATAAAATCCAATCATAATCTCATTACCCAGGGGTAAATGCTGTTAACATTTTGTTGCATTTCTTTCAGTATTTTTAATGCAAATATGCATACTCTCGTGGAATTGGGATCAAGTTAAAAAAACTTTTTTGTGTTGAACATAATGTGTATGAATATGCCACCATGGCATTCAATTGTACGTGAAAATGTGATTTTTACAGCTTCACACTACTCTGCTGTGTAAGTGCAATTTGTTTCAACATCATTGTTTGACATTGTATTGTTTACTTTTTTGACTATTTTAAATAACAATCAGTGGGCATTGTAAATATAAGTCTTTGCATTTCTGAAAATTTATATTTATGTTAGCCTTGCTATTTCAAAGCTTTTAATTACGGAAAACTCAAACATCTACCAGAGAGAGGAGTGCAATAAAAGAGCACGTATTCATTGTCTAGGTTGCACAATTATCAAGTCTTGGCCAATCTTGCTCATCTACACTAGTATCACCCTGAACATCTATACCTCTTCCAGTTCTGGTTCAATTAAAGCAAATCCCAGACATCATGTGGTTGTGTACTTTACTCAGAGACATGTAATGTCAGATTGTCTTTTCGGGTGTGTGTGTGTATGTGTGTTGTTAGTTACAGTTGATAAGCAATGACTAGATCTATTGTTTTATTAGAAGTTGGTTTGCAAAATAATGACATTCTGATTATACCATTTCTACTTCATTTATTTATTTTACTTATTTTTTAACGTTTACTTATTTTTAAGAGACAGAGAGAGACAGAGAATGAACAGGGAAGGGCAGAGAGAGAGGGAGACACAGAATCTGAAGCAGGCTCCAGGCTCTGAACTGTCAGCACAGAGCCTGACACAGGGCTCAAACCCACGAACCCTGAGATCATGACCTGAGCCGAAATCGGATGCTTAACTGACTGAGCCACCCAGGCGCCCCTCTACTTCATTTATTAACTGAAGTATTTCTATGAAGATAATGTTTTCTTGTCAAATAATTGATTAACTTTGAGGTTAAGTGCAAGATACTTTCCGTTCATTTATCAGTTTGTAGGATAATGAGCTGATTCCCCTCTAGGGTGACCAAACCATCCCTGCTTGCCTGAGATGGAGCCATTTATCAGGACAAACAACAAAATAGTCCCAAGAAAATCCCAGGCAACCAGGATAAAGTCCCAAAAGTAATCAAAGAGGACTCTTTTCGGAACTCATGGATTATAACCTACTTGATGTGTTTTAGTTGGTTGGATTCATGGTCTCAGTGATGTGGGAATTGTCCCATCTTTACCAGCAGAAATCTTTTCAGGCTGGCTCCTGAGCCTTTGTGACATGGCCTCTGTAATCTATGATAGCTTCCTGGTTTTCTGGGAGGAGAACACATTCTAGGCTCACTTGTACACTTTTCCTCTTCCAGAAGCGGAATCAGCTATCTGTGATTAATGATAGATATGTTTTCTCCTTCCAGTTCTAATGTGTTTATTATTTTACTGTAGTTGTTAAGACATTTACTGAAATATAGAATAGAAAGAATAATATTGGAAGTCTTTGTATTTTTCAAATTTTTAAGGGAATGCTTTTAACATGTCCCTTTGAAAACAAATTCAAAGATTACCTAGGTCAGGTTAAGGAAGTTCCCTTTTATCCCTAGTTTGTGAAGAGATGTTAATGAGAAATAATGTTAGACTTGACCAAATCACTTTTCTGCATTTAGTGAGAGAATTTTATAGTGAATACCATTGATGTGCGGTATGTTGTACTAATATTAAAACTTGCTCATAGTCCTGAGATGAATCCCAAATGATCTTGGTGTCTTAGTATTACTTTTTAATATCCAATGCTGGTTTGATAATATTTTTAGGAGCAGTCATTGCTTTTCATAAGTAACATTCATCTATAATTGTCCTTTGACATCCATCTTTGTTTACTTATGTCATTGTGGTTCTCTTGGTCTCATACAATGTGTTCAGTAGTAGTCTTGCTATTTTTGTTTTTCTCAGTACTCAGGTATGGGAATTATTGGTCTTGGGTTTGATGTAACTTGCCTGTGAAAACATATGTATGTATAGAGATTTAAATTTCTTTAATGTGCATTTAATTCAACTTTTCATTTTTCTTTCAGTTTTGCTAGATGATAATTTTTAGAAAGTTTTACATTTTGTTCAAGTTTTCAAATTAATTTGTGTGGACTTATTCCTTGCTTGTTCTTATAATTATTTAAATTTTTACTGTGTCTGTAGTTACAATTTTCCTTTACATCATGTTTTTCTATCGTCTTAATTTCTTTGATAAATCTATCAGAGATTTGCCCATTGTTTAATTCTTTCAAAAGAACCATTTTAAATGGATTCTTTCCTTTGCTTCTTTGGCTTTATTGCCTTCATCTTAGCACTGATTATGACTATTTTTGTCCTCCTACTTTTGCTTACTCTTACTCTCTCTTAAAACTTTCTGGTTCAATGCTTAGCTCATTACTTTCAGTCTTTTAGTTTTTATATATTTTCAAGTTATAAAAAGTTCTCTGTGTGCTGCTTAGGTTCATTGCTCAAGTTTAAAATTTACACTTTTCATGACAGTTTTGTTGTAAATATTTTAACAATTCTGTTATAATTATTTTCTGGTTCATAAATAATTTTTTTTAAGTTTATTGATTTATTTTGAGTGAGAGAGAGAAAGCTGGGGAGGGGTAGCGAGAAAGGGAGAGAGAGAATCCCAAGCAGACTCCTCGCTGTCAGTGCAGAGCCTGACACAGGGCTCGAACTCATGAAGCTGAGCTGAAATCATGACCTGAGATTATAGCCTGAGTTGAAATCCAGACTTGGACACTAAGGCAACTGAGCCACTCAGGTGCCCCTTGTTCGTAAATTACTTAGGAGTGCATTTCTTTTTATTTAAAGTTGACTTTTTATAGATAATATCTAACTTTATTCATTATAGTAAAAACACATGACCTATATGATATTGATTCTTGAATACTTATTGAGATTTGTTTTCTTGTGGTCAATATTTCTGATTATTTCTTCTTTAAAATTTTTTTACATTCATTTATTTTTGAGAGACAGAGACAGAATGAAAGCAGAGACAAGACAGAAAGAGAAGGAGACACAGATCTGAAGCAGGTGCCAGGCACTGAGCTCTCAGCACAGAGCCCAAAGTGGGGCTCAAACCCACACATAGTGATCATGACCTGAACCAAAGTCTGGCACTTAATGGACTGAGCCACCCAGGTGCCACTATTTCTGATTCTTTCTTTCTTTCTTTTTAAAAATTAAAAAAAAATGTTTATTTATTTTGATAGAGAGAGACAGAGCATGAATGGGGGAGGAGTAGAGAGGGAGAAGGAGACACAGAATCTGAAGCAAGCTCCAAGCTCCGGGCTCTGAGCTGTCCGCATAGAGCCCAGTGCAGGGTTTGAACCCACAAACAGTGAGATCATGACCTGAGCTGAAGTCAGACGCTTAACCAACTGAGCCACCCAGGCGCCCCTATCTCTGATTATTTCTTAAGGATAAATTTCTGAATAAGAATTGTTGAGTGCAATAACTTTATATATAGTAACAAATTACCCTTCCAATGATTGTACAAATTGACATTTCTATAGTATTTTCTAAGAGTTTTGTTTCATGACATCAGCATCTAATGATTTAAAAATATTATTTAACAATTTGTAGAGAAAAAAATATTATATCCTTGTTTTATAATGCATTTTTTCATCATGAGGTTGGATTCTTTTCATATTTGTGCTTTTTTTTTAATTTGGAAATTATTTGTTCATATCCATTGCATTTTTAAAAATTGGTATAATTTTTCTTGAGTTTCTTTGTAAAAATGTTTTATTTTTTAAGGATATTAAATAACTTTGTTCATAAACGATCATTATCCCAGAGTCCATTAGGATTCTTAGCCAGATAGGTAGGCCCCTGAATGTTCATTTTGACAGTTCCTGAGCTCCTTGAACTAATCATGTACCTGGGCCCTCCCAACCCCACAACTCGCCATTACCCTGATGTATCTTAACATACAAACCACAGAAGATCCGTGGCCTTTATCCAGGTTGTTTCTGAGAACTATTTCAGAAAACTCTGAGATCCTGGCTGCTGAAATTGTCATTCCAGAAGAGTCAAAGATGATATGAGTACCAACGGGTACACGTAAAGCTTAGGGTGACCTACTCAAGATAAGTAACAAGTTCTCCTGACCAAGTTATTCTTCTGACAGGGGTTTATTATAAAGGATGAATCTTTATAACCATTGTTATAAAGTGCATCTTGCCCAAAGGCATGATAATGGAATGGGGAGCTTCTCCCAATGGAGAGGTTTACAAGCCTGGGATTGGGTAGAAGACAGGCTTTGGGAAAATTGTGCTTGCAGGAGAAGGAAAGAGTTACTCACAGACTTTCCTAAACTTTAGGAGAATTTTAAAGAGATTCGGCCTCATTACCTCAATATTATTCAGGCTTCTAATTTTCATCCTTATTCCTTTTTTGTCCTGAGTTCAGGCCTCTCACCCACCCCCAGAGAGTGTCAGCGTCTTCTCATTGTTCTGAGAGTTGTGTTAGTGGCACGATTGCCCCCTGGAGGCCAGAGAGAGGAGCAGCCGCCTTAAAATATTCTAGGCCTGTGTCTCTCAGGGCTGGGGGCACATTAGAAGAACCTGAGGAGTTGTAACAAAGAGTGCTCAGTCCTGAGCACCTAGACCACTGGGGAGGTGGGGACACATTCCAGTATCACCACATTAAGGTTTAACCTTGAGTAAAACAATAAGATGGAAATGAAAGCAACTGCTCTGAAATAAATCTAAACATACCCAGAAGCAGAATCACTCATAGAAAGTAGCAGGGTAAATAAAAGATGTCAGGGGGATGGAAAAAGGAGATATTTTACCTGTAGGTTTACCTGTATGTTTACCAGTCTGGGAGGTAATCCGTTTTAGCAAATCTCCCCCTGGGACTTGGAGTTTGAGTGTGACAGATTTTTGGTGTGTATTTGTGATGTGCCCACGAAGGTGCTCATTTTCATATACAAGTTGATGGCTGATTACCCAATTGGCCTCCCAATCCTTAGACCTTACTTTTCACTCAGTTCTGGGTGGCTGGAATATTAGTAGGGGCCAATATCACTGAGCTTTCAACTGAAAGTTGATGAAGAGCTTGACCTCAGTGCCAAGACTAGCATTTTGAGAGTTCTGCTTCAACACCAGCACTAATTTAAACTTTATCTTTTCAGATCAGAGAACCACAGAATAAAATTTTAAGGTTTGCCTGGGTGCATTTCAGCAAGTCCTTTCTACCTTTAATCTCCCCCTCTTTTGAAGCCAAATGTCTATAGTGATTAACCTGTGCCTTCCTGGTCATGTCTGATCTAACACTGTAATCTGGATGTGTGGGGGGTGGTCGCTTGTTTCACAGCTTGACAGATGGAGAGGAATTGTGCCCCAGGAG